TTGCACTGAGCACGTCATCACATGCCACGCAATGCCAACAAATGCTGCCAGAAACACCTCGGCTCAGATTTGAGACTATTGTGTGTTATGAATTGCAGTGTTTTTACTGTACATACAAAGTTTTTTGCTCTTACGGAAACATAGTAGTTTAATTATGGAAAATAAAGATTTTTAATATTTTCTTACCATCATTCCTCAGCATGTAAGTATCAGATAAGTATATCTTTGGGTTGTATTGTGTTAGAATGTTTGATTTTAAAAATTGCTGTTATCTCCTTCTTTTACAGAAACATAAGTGTTTAATTGCAGCAAGTAAAGACAAAAGCCCTTTTATAATATTTCTCCATCATCACCGCTGTATGTGTATGGAAGTGTGACCATCAGTTTTTTAAATTAAGCACAAACAAATGTAATATCATAAACTAAAGCTCGTATTTATTTGAGAAATTATTAGCAATATTTATTTATATCTTAGGACAAAAATATTTTTTGGTTATGGATAAGTGGCTAAATTTAGACCAAAGAGGTAAAAATACTGATGATGATTTGGCAGAGTCTTCGCTACCAGGTTGTAGTACACCTAAATTGATAAGAAAAAAAACTATGTTGAATCATTTTTGCAACATGGATTTACTTCTAATTATGATGATGGTATGGAAAAACCTCTTTACTTAACTTGTAATGAAGTTTTGCCTTCAGAGAGCATGAAACCAGCCAAACTAAAATGACATCTTAGTACCAAGCAAGCATCATATTGCAATAAACCAAAGGAATATTTTGAACAACTTCTAAAATTTTCAAATAAAGAAAAACAATGTTTGAAGAATTTGTTACTGTCAATGAAAAGTATTTACTTGCGTTTTATGAAACTTATTTAATTGCAAAAACTAAAAAGCCCTACACAATAGGAGAAGATCTCATGTTACCTGCTGCTATTAAAATGTCAGAAATAGTTCATGGGAAAAAGGTATGGGGATGTAATTCATAAAATTCCTTTATCAAATGATTCTGTTCCCAAAAGAATTTCTGAAATGAGTAATGACCAATTTCAGCAACTTATTACCAGGCTTAAGGGCACCCAAGGTTTTCAATTCAGTTAGATGAAACAACCGATATTTCTAACATGGTACAGTTGTTACTCTACGTAAGTTATGTTTAAGAAGGAAGCATATGTGAAGAACTGTTGTTTTGTTGCCCTTTGGAAAGGCACCCAAAAGGGGAAGATATATATTTTAAAGTCAATGAATTTTTCACAAATGAAGATTTACAGTGGAAAAATTGCATTGGAGTTTGTACAGGTGGTGCTAGAGCAATGATGGACAAGAATGTTGGATTTGTAGCAAAGGTGAAGCTGGTAGCAATGAACATAGTACTTTTACTCACTGCATGATCCATCAGGAGGCATTTGTAGCCAAAAAAATATCACCAGAGTTGTTAGAGGTTGGGCTTCACGATACTATCATAATCATGAACTTCATTAAAAGCCGTGCCCTGAACAGTCGTTTGTTTTCAAAACTTTGGAAAGACATGAACTTCAATTACAAAAATTTATTACTGCATGCAGAGGTAATGTGACTCTCAAGAGGGTGAAGTTTAAAAAGATTATGGAAACTGAAAGATGAAGTTATATTTTTGATTGAGCAGAAATCTGATTTTGTTAATTTTTTTTTCATAATGACTTATGACTTTCAAAACTGTGTTATTTGTCAGATTTTTCAAAAAACTCAGTGGTTTTTCAAGGAAAAAATTATAGCATATTTATGTTAAAAGATAAAATTGAAAGTTTTACTAAAAAAGTTAGCATATGGAAGAATAAGGTAGAAATAGTTCTTTAGAAACATTTACAGCCTCAGATGATTTTGTAATTGAAAATAACCGTTGCAGAGATTCAATTGTAAGAGTTATAATTGATCATCTGAAGTGCCTGGAAACAATTTCAGAAACATTTCCCTTCGAATTTTGATTCTAAAAATCTAAGTTGGGTTCATAAACCATACTCAATTGAAACATCAGTCATCTGCCTTTAAAAATTCAAGAAGAATTTGCCATGTTATCAAGAGACAGAGGTTTAAAATTTGAGTTTCCTAAAAAATCGTTAAATGAATTTTGGCTTGGGATTAGAACATACTTCTGCCATTCTGTACTATGTATTTATATGAAGTGGCATTCTCAGCATTGACGATTATAAAATCAAAATATCAGTCAACTCTGAAAAATGTTGAAGATGCTCTACATCCTGCAGTATCAAATATTCCACGTGAAGAATTGGAAATTGAGAGTATGCCCATCAATTGGAGAATGGTTGAACAAGTTGTGGTGTATGAATGTAATGGAACACTATTGTGCTATAAGAAACGATGAGCAGGCGGACTTCAGAAAAACCTGGAAGGACTTGCATGGATTGATGCTGAGTGAAATGAGAACATTGTATACAGTAACAGCCATGTTGTGTGATGACTAATGTTGATAGACTTAGTCCTTCTCAACAATGCAAAGATCTAAGACGTCTCCAGAGAAAGAACTATGGAGTTTGAATGCATCTCGAAGCATACTATTTGCTGCTTTTTTCCTTCTATTTTGTTTTGTTTTCTCTTTCTTGCGATTCTTCCTATTGGTTCTAATTCTTCCTTACAACATCACTAATGTGAAAATGTTTACTAGGAATGTATATGTATAGCCTATATCAGATTGCACGCCATCTTGGGGAGGGAGGGGGAGAAAAATTTTAAACTCAAAAGCTTATGGAAGTGATTGTTGATAAATCAAAATAAATTAATGAAAAAAATTCCACAAAGATTTGATTCTTCATGTAAAAACGAACAAGCACATCCATTTCATTCGTATGCAAATTTGCTTTCATCTTTAATAAATGGTAAAATTACATGTATATCAAAGAATTATTTTAAAATAAATTTCTTTATGATTTATTATCAGTAAATGCTTGATTTTTATACCTATTTTACATACCTGTACACGTGAGGTTGTGTAAAAATTTCTCAGACAAAAAGGAAAAAAGTTTAAGAAGCTCTGCTATTGACTATGGGATTTTAGTTGGGAGTTGAAGGAAGCTGGTAGGTGGAGGTGAAGAGGGAGAGCATTCCAGGTATCTGGGAGAGCCAGTTAAGATGCCCAGAATTAGGAGAGCGCTGGATCGAAGAGTATGTAGAACTAGGAAAGGTATAAGAAGACTGGAAATGTGGGAGGGGGGCGGGGGCAGACTTTAAACCCAAAGTAGAATCTGTCTCTTGATTTCATGGCTTCATTCTCATTCCCTTAGAGGGCACATTGGATCTGTGTGAGGAGAATCTGGTAGAGAGATTTTGTTGTGGGTAGTACAATGGGAAGAGCACTGTCTGTACAGTCAGATCCCCTGAGTTCGAATGTTACTTCTTGATGGTTAGTACCTGTATGACAAGCTGTTTAATCTCCTTGGGCCTCAGTTTCCTCACTTCTAAAATAAGAGGGTTGGACTCAATAATCTTTAGACAGCTCTAGGGGTGGGCTAGGTGGTGCAATAGATAGAGTGCTGGGCCTGGAGTCTGGACTTATCTTCCTGAGTTCAAATCAGATACTTAACTAGCTGTGTGACCCTGGGCAAGTCACTTAACCCCATTTGCCTCAGTTTCCTTCTGTCTAAAATGAGCTGGATTGACATTGAGTACAATGCTGTCTTCATACTATAGCATTCTTCCTCTGCTGTGGGTCAGTTTAAATTCAACCCAACTTTCAGGTCCCACATCTTTGATAGAATCTCTTCTGATTTCAACCCCTAGTCTATCTCTATCTAGGCCTAGCTCCACCCCTCCCTCCAATTTCTATGGCACTACTCCTCTAATCCTTCAATCATCTTGTATGTCTCTCCAATTTCTCTACTTAGATAATAAATTCCTGGAGAACACAGGACCCTACCATCAGAGGCATGATTTAATTGAAAGAGAATTGAACTTGGAGTCAGAAAAAGTCTGGGTTCCAATCCTTCTTCTGCCACTTAGGAACTGTGTGATCTGAGCAATCATTCAGAATTTATTGACTACCTACAGCTAAGTGTCTTAATGGATAAGAGCTTTCTCCCTTGAGTCAGGAAGACCCTAGTTTGAATCCTGCCTCAGACACTGGACAAATCAGTTAACCTCTGTTTGCCTCAGTTTCCTCATCTATATAATGAAGGGGTTGGATTCAGTGGTTTCTCTTCTACCCCTAAATCTAAGATCTCATGTTCCTATTGCTAGCTTCTGTCCCTGCCCTTAAGGAGCTAACTCATTGGAATAGACAATATATAAGGGTATACAAAATATTGACAAAATAAATATAAGGTAATGGGAGGGAAGAAACACTTGCAATTCAGAGGATCAGACTCAGGGGATTAAGAGTCAAATCATTTAACCTCTTTTTGAACCTTAGTTTCTCCATTTCTCTAAAATGGGGATAATCTGACTGCATTGTAGCACTTAATGCTTGTTGATTGTTTGATTGTTGTGAGAATTAAATGAGATATTGATATGTTTTCTCTCCCCTTAGAATCTAAGCTTCTTAGAGGCAGGAACCATTTATGCCTTTGTATTCCCAGCTCTTCCACAGTGTCTGCACATAGGAAGCATGTAATAAAAGCTTGTTGACTGACTATGTAATGCATTTTGTAGACTTTTAAAATGCTCTACAAATTGTCACTTAATTTCCTCTGTGTTTTATAAACTTTCCACCACCCTGGACAGGCACATAGTAGGCCATCAATAAATATTTGTCATTTGAGTGATTTACTTCCCTTCTCTTCTGGGTACTTGTGGTTCCTGTTACCTGAAGCTGAAGTCATTGGGTCTCTCTGGAAGGGTAGGGAGTGTTACCTTGGTTTCCTCTGTGTTCTCAACTGTATTTTCAGCTTACGTCCTGGGAAGCTATTCTGGCGGGGGGGTGGGGGTGGGGGGGAGATCGTGAGAGAACGCACTTGTCAGTTCTTGGGTAAACGAGCATTTTCCTAACCAGCTCCTCACCCTTCTCGTTAGCGCTGGCATCGCAGTGGGATTCTATGGCAATGGAGAGACCAGCGATGGCATTCATCGGGTCACATATTCACTTCGCCACGCAAACCGCACTGTGGCTGGAGTCCAGGATCGGGTAAGTTGAGGGAAGAATGGGCCTGGGAACTGGCTCTAGGGTTGATGGGGAGAGCCAAGAGAAGACACCATCTTTTTAAGGCTGTTCAGCTCATCCTCCTCCACTCTGGCCTTCAGAATGAGGGTTGCCAAGGCCTTTGTGAGAGAAAGTTTGCTGTATTCTTTCTTCCTATTCCCAAGAAACCTCATGCTGAGTGCTGCAATTTGCCAGCCAAAGGATATGTTTCACTGGCAGTGTGTGAGTGTTTGTGTGTGGGGGGGGTGCGTGTGTGGGAATGGGTGGGATGTATTAGGGGCATGCAGAGAAGTGAGGTTTAGAGTATGTATGGGTAAGAGTAGGGGGAGATTTGGTTTTGTGTGGGGGGAAAAAGGGTTTTGTAGTGTGTGTGTGTATGTGTGTGTGTGTGTGTAATGGAGAGAAGTGGAAATTATTATATAATAATAGTATAATTATAATGGAAATAATAAAATATAACATTATAGACTATGTTATATTAATGCATTGCATATTATATAGTTGTATAATATATGGTAATATAATTATTATATGGAAAGAATAATATAATGGAAAGTATAATGGAAAAAAGATTGACTCTAAACTTGAAGGTCTAGGTTCAAATCCCATCTTTGATTCTTCCTACCTGTATGACTTTGGGCAAATCACTTAACCCCTACAAGTGTCAGTTTCCTCACTGTAAAATAAGAGAATTGAACTAAATTACCTCAGAGGTATTTTCTAGCTCCAGGTCCGTGATCCTATGGTCTATGAAGGGAGAAAAAGGCAGAGTGGGAGAGGCAGAGGTAGATTTGCATATATGGGGGGGAAAGGGGAGGGATATGTGTGTATATAAGAGAGGTGGCAGTTGTCTATGTGAGAGGGAAAGGTGGGTTTTGTGTGGATGTCAGAGAGAGAAGAGGAGGGGTGTGAATAAGGTGGGTGTGTGTAAAGCAACAGCTTCTGGTTAACACTCCTGAGAAAAGTGACATGACCAGAACTTTGCCTTTTCAATGGGCAGAGGAGACTCTTTAACGAGTTGCTTTGTTCAAGTGACATATTTAACATTATCTGAATAGCAGATCTTGCTGTTCACCTCTCCTTGTGTCCCTATCAGCATATCTGGAGTTCCTGAATCGGGCTGGGGGTGGAGGGCTTCCATTTTTACCTCTGAGCTGTTACTGACCTCTAGATGAGGCAAGTGATCACTCCCCTCTTCTCCCAGGGACCTCTGAATGGAAGAATGTTCAAGTTGGACAGAAAAGAACACCGGCCCTAGAGTAAAAGGAGCTGAGTTCAAATCCAGCTTCTTATATATGCTACTTGTATGACCTTGGGCAATTCACTTAACCTAAGCCTCAGTTTCCTTATCTGTAAAATGAGGGGGTTGGATTAGATGGCTTCCTTCGAACATGAGTTCAAGTCCTGTCTCTGATGATTACCACATCTGTGACTTTGAGCAGGTCACTCTCCCTGAGCTTCAGCTGTTGTTCAGTTGTTTTCAGTTGTGTCCGACTCTTTGTGACCCCGTTTAGGGTTTTCTTGGCAAAGATATTCCCATTTCCTTCTTCAGCTCATTTTACAGATGAGGATACTGAGGCAAACAGGGTTAAGTGACTTGCCCAGGTTCACACTACTAGTAAGTGTCTGAGGTTGGATTTGAACTCAGCTCTTGCTGATTCCAAACCCTATGCTCTGTCCACTGCGCCACCTAGCTGTCCTGAGCTTCAGCTACTATCACCTACGAAATGAGGGATTGGATTAAAATGGTTTTTGAGGTTCCTTTCTTATATGATCTTACTTAATCTGGGTTCAAATCCCTCCTCTGATTCTTACTGTATTTGTGACCTTGGGCAATTCACTTTACTTTCCTCAGCCTCAATTTCTCTGCCTTTAAAATAGGGGAGAGGGTTGTACTCAATGGCCTCTGAGATCCCCTTCATCTCTCTCATCCTATGACTTCAAGATTAACTAAAGTAACCCCCTTATGTGAGGAAGCTATGTCTTAGGGAGAAGTGATTTACCCAAAGGCACAAAATCCGGTGTTCTTTCCACCAATAGCTAATAATAGCTAGCATTTACATAGCAGTTTAAGGTTTGCAAAGCACTTCAAATATTATATCATTTTCTCTTCACAACAATCCCAGGAAATAGGTGCTATTATTAGCTCTATTTTACAGATAAGGCATACCTGTCCAAGGTCACCCAGCTTGTAAGTATCTGAGGCCAGATTTGAACTCAGGTCATCTTGTAAATCTCATAAAGTGGGGCAGCTAAGTGGTGCAGTGGACAGAGCACTGGCCCTGAAGTCAAGAGGACCTTAGTTCAAATCCAGCCTCAGACCAAACGCTTGATACTTACTAGCTGTGTGATCCTGGGCAAGTCACTTAACCCCAACTGCCTTAATTAAAAAAAAAAAAAACAGGAAAAAGAAAAAAAATCTCCTAAAGTGACTTGTTCAGGGTTACCCATCTAGCACCTGAGGCTAGATTTGAACTCAGATCTTCTTGACTCCAAGTCCAGCACTTTATCCACTGCTCTACCTAGTTGCCTCACTCCAGTCCTGTTCCTTCATAGAGTAAAAGATAACAATTTCCCAGTTTCTCAAATTGACTTCTTCAATCAATACCAAAACTATTGGTATCTTCTTTCTAAATAAAAATACCCCCTTGGAGAGGTAACATACTAAATTTCTAAAACCTGCCTCACAGGATCTGCTCTATCCCTTCCCCCACTCGACTGCCCACCCAGAACTCATCATCTGTCCTGTCCTCTCTCTCCCTGATCTCTTTGCCCCAATTTCTCCTCTTCAGGTGACAGACACTACAGTGGCCCTCAACCAGACGGTGGAGACCAGCCTTCAGACCCTGGAGAAGCTCTACACAAAACATACCGATTATCTGCACATCGTCCAGAAACTCCAGGGGCTTCTGTATGACTTGCTTCGGCAGACCACAGAAATCCCCTTTTGGAAGAACAACGCGGTATCCCTGGAGGATCTGGCCGTGCAGGTTGATCTGTATGATTGGTATAGGTAAGAATAGCTTTCTCTTCAACTCTGGCTCATATGGGCTGGGAAGTTAGAGCGGCTTCCCTCTGAGATCTGTTTTCCTCTGCCAAACTGGCTTTGGGCACCAGTAACACTGATGTCCTTTCTTGTCCTTGGTTTATTGAGTGGGGGCTAGGAATGATTTCTGGATGGGTAGAAGCGAGAGTCAGGAGAGGGTTGAAAGCAGTGGGACCAGGGAGAGAGGGGGCAGGATGGGCATTGACCCCAGCAGCCTCAGTGTGAGCATGGGAATGGGGTCGCTGCTTTGGAAGGGGATTAGGATCTTTGGGAACGAGGGAGGATAGAGTCAGAGAAGAGGTCTCATTTCTTTCATTTTCTTCAGCTCTCGGTTCTGAGCACTGCTTACCTATACATACCCAGTCTGATTTTGTCTCTTAAGCTCCACACTCTTCTTGTCCATGCTGGGCATGACAACCTTATAGGATGAGCTCAGTCCTAGGGAACCTCTAGCTTGGTTGGAACAGCCAGCCTCTATTTCCGCCTGGTTCTCTGTCCTCTGATGGAAATTATTTCTCTGCTGAAAGTGTTGAGCACCAGGATGAAGCCTAAGCCCTGGGAAGATCAGGCCACTTCAGACTTCCCTTGTGTTCTAATGACTTGAAGATTCAAAATGTTTTGCTTTCAGAGATCAGAGGAGTAAGCCTAGTGTGATGTGAGGGGTACTTGGCAAAGTATCTGCTTATAAAGATCTCTCTCACTGAAGCCCAAAATTCATTTTTTTAAAAAAAAATTATTTTGAATTTAGCAAGGACCAAATAGAACGGGCATTTTGATATACACTGTTGTTGTTCAGTAGTTTTTCAGTCGTGTGTGACTGTTCATGAGTGCATTTGGGATTTTCTTGCAAAGATACTAGAGTGGTTTGCCATTTACTTCTTCAGCTCATTTTATAGATGAGCAACTGAGGCAAACAGGGTTAAGTGACTTGCCCAAGGTCACACAGCTAGTAAATGTCTGAGGCCAGATTTAAACACAGAAAGATGCGCCTTCCTGACTCCAGGCCTGACGCTCTATATTCTGCACCACCTAGCTGCCTTCCAGATGCGTAGTAGAACAGAAAAAGAGGATTGTACATAAGACTTCAGATCTCTGTTGTGTACATTTTTTTTTTATTAAGTACATAAGAAGTTCAAGAGCAGCTAGGTGGTGTAGTAGATAGAGAACTGGGCTTAGAATCAAAAAGACTTGTATTCATGAGTTCAAATCTGGCCTCAGACACTTCCTAGCTGTGTGAACCTGGGCAAGCCATTTAACCCTGTTTGCCTCAACTCCTCATCTATAAAATGATCTGAAAAGGAAATGGCAAACTTTGCCGAGACAACCCCAAAATGGGGTCATGAAGTGTTGGACAGGACTGAAACAACTCAACAACAACAACAACAAAAAGTTCAAACCTATAGCTTTCAAAGCTGGCCTACTTTTGATCTTCCTTCTGTTCCTTTCTCTGCATGGAAATTTGCTATTTAGACCCTCAGTCCAAGGACTCCTTAGGGGTCTGTAGATAGATTTCAGGGGATCTGTGAATTTGGATGGGAAAAAAAAATTACATTTTTTCCCAGTATACTTGGTTTCCTTTGTAATCCTATGTGTTTTGTTTTATGTATTTAAAAACATTAATCTGAGAAAGGATCTGTAGGCTTCATCAGACTACCAAAAGGGTCTATATCACAAAAAAAGGTTAAGAACCTCCAATTAACCTCCAATTAAGTCATACCTTACGATGAAGAAAACTGTTGATATCCTCTTTTAAAATGAAAATACCCTCTTGAAAGGGTAACGTGCTAGGTTTCTGAAACTTTATTATAAAATTAAAGTTGCCACCTTTTTCTCCTATTACTGGAAATAGGATCTGGAAAGAATAGGAGTTGGAAAAAGGAAAGAATAGGAGTTGGAAAAAGGAAAGAGAGGAAGCGGTGGGAAGGGAAGTTCTAGTTTTGGAATGGAGTGGGAGTGTCCCATGTTGAGACAGAAAAACTGGGAAGAAACGCGGTCAGTCACTTTTGAAGTTGGCATATTTGTCTTGGCTAATACATGCTGTTGGTAGCCTCTCTCTCAGCAATGCTTGTGTTCTCAGAAAGTCTGTACCTGTCTGCTTCCTTGTCCTCAGGTGGCTGGGGTACCTGGGCCTCCTCCTTTTTGATGTCTTGATCTGTTTGCTCGTGCTCTTTGGACTCATCCGGAACTCCAAGGCCATCCTAGTAGGGTATGTCCTGGGGAGCCTGAGATGAAGCTCGGCAGAGTGGGGGTGGGAAGGTGTCTGCTGGTGGGTGGAGAGAAAACTGTGGACTGCTTTGACCTCACCAGCCAATTAATTTTCATCAGGCCCCAGGATGATACCATCTACTAAAGGGCCCAACTACCAGATACCCAGCATCTTATGAGAGTCTTCCGCTCAGAGAGATTATAGAAAACAAATTCTAATAAAGACATTCTCTGGGGACTCAGTTGAGTTTTATATTTGGAAAAGATGTTTCCCTAAGGGCAGGGGTTCCCTAACCTGGAGTCTGTGAACTTGTTTTTAAAAATATTTTTATAACTGTATTTCAATATAAGTGGTTATCTTTGTAATCCCTATATATTAGCAAGTTAAAATCCAACCAATTCCCTTTGGTTCTTTAGTGGAGACTGGGGAATCTGAGTCACTCCAGTTATACTGGGAAGAAAGATCTGTCAGTCTAGGACCATAAATGTCAAAACAAGAAGAAACCTTAGGGATCAACAGTTGTAACTACCACTTCCTGTTTTTTTAAAAAATATTTTTATTGATACTTTTTTGTTTTTCTACCTCCCCTTCATTTCTGAATATACTCCTGCCCCACAACCCATCAGACCCTCCCTTTGAACAGAAATGTTTTAAGAAAAGGGCGGGGGGGGGGGAGAGAAGGAGAGTAAGTCAAGTCAACAAAACCAACTAGCAGGGCTCAACCATGTCCTATAGCAAAGGTATTGTTTCACACCTGTCGTCTCCCGTCTCTATAAAGAAGTAACCACCTTATTTTACAGAAAAGGAAACAGACCAAGCCAGGTTGTGGGTCCCCACTGTGCTGTGAACTCTTCCTGGCCCACAGGTTCAGATCTCAGCACGGCTATGAGCCCACGGTGCTGAGCTGCTTTTTATTGGAAAGGACAGAAAGGTGTCTTGCATGGGAGACTATACTGCACTAGATATAATAGAATTGGAGGTTTAGGTTTTAAGTTCCTCCCTGGCTGAAGTATAATTGGAGAGGCCAGGGTTTTTTCTTTGTTTGTTTTGTTTTTTAACTAAAGAGATCAATACCATCTGCTTGAAATACTTGTTTATAAAGCACTTTTCACGTATCTTAATGTATTGGATCCTCACGATATTCTTAGGAAGAATAGGGTTAGGGACTAGGCCTGGGATTTCACTGGAACTCATTCCTGGGTGAGGAACTCCTTCTACTAGTATTAATTGGCATCTTCTTTGTAATTTATTGTCTTTGAGAGTTGCCTGAGGCACCCTGAGGTTAAGTGACTTGCCAGGGTCACACAGTCAATATCTGTTAGAGAAGGGATTTGAATTCAGGTCTTCCTAGCTCTAAGACTGGCTCTATGCCCTATGCCATGTTGAGGTTAAATGACCTCCCTGTCTTGCCATAGGAGGAACAAGAATCCACCCCCAGGCTCTTTCTACTAGATTTTCCTTCAGTGGAATGTAAGCTCCTTGAGGGCGGTGATTTTTTTTCTTTAAAATATAGAATGCTTATTTTTTGTCTTTGTAGCCCCTAGCACAGTGCCTTGAAAGACACTATAGGCCCTTAATGTTTGAAATGAGTGTAATTGAAAATCCTTGTTCCAGTTTTCCCTTCTTTTCTATTTCCTGATTGGTACCTATGAACTAGGGCTGGAAGTTTTGAATACTATGCCCCCGGGGAACCTTAGTGTGTCATAAGTAGCTTGTGACCTGCAGAAAGGAGAAAGCTTGAAAGATGGCTGCAGAAGTAATGGCTTATGCTTTTGTTCACACCACCTCCTCCCATTCCCACCTCATTTTAAAACTGGCATTTACCCTAGGGAAAGTAAATGAAATATTATGGAGGTCTCTTAGCCCAGTCTGAAGAGGCACTCATCATTTTGGCACTGTGGCTGTCTCTTTTTCCTATGCCACGTATCTGCTGTCCCGTAGTCAGCAGCATTTCCTTTTTGGCCGAATGCCTCTAAGAACAGTGAATCACTCTGGTAGCCACCAAGAGCTTCTTAAGCAAGCAGAGTTTTGTGCAGCTGTTTTGGCAAAAGCTAAGATTTTGCCTTGGGGTTTGAAAAGGGTATGTCTCCTGCAAACTACAGCTGCTCCCAACAATGGGAAATGAGGTCACAGACAGCCTTTTGAGGGTAACTTTTTAGAAAGGGAATGGAAGCAGAATTCTGGCTGTCCCCAATTCCTCTAGGCCATAGAGTCTAGGCTGGAGCCTGGCCCAGCTGTGGACAATTGGAAACTGCAGCATTGGCTGGGATAAACCAGGGAATGCCTTCCCTATCCCCATGCCACTGGGGAGCAGAAGGTTACTTAAGCTAGGTTTAGTGGTGGCAATTGGGGAGTAGGACTGAGCACAGAGGAAAAGCTAGCTTCTCTGAACCAGGTGCTGGTTCTGCCTATGACCAGATCTTACTATGTGAGAATTCTTAGTGAAGGCAAATTCCCTAGCGATCCAAGCCTCTAATAAGTAAAGCTCCCATTTCCTATTACCCCAGTCACTGCCAGGAGTCAAGATTTTTATTTCCTGCTTTTCCCCACATTTGGGAAGTCATTCCAATTGATGTAGTTGGGTGGGAAACTATAGCTGTCAGTGGGTCAAGGGGGTGTGGGACCCTCTTGATGTGTCATGTCCTCATCTTTCCCTTTAGAGTGTGTTTGCTGGGTGTGCTAGCCTTGGTCATCAGCTGGGGATCCCTGGGGCTCGAGCTGGCAGTCTCTGTGGTAAGTGACTCTGATGCTAAAGTCACCTTCCTTTCCCCTAATATCTACTCTGAGGCTAGCTATAATGCTACAGTCTGGTGGAAAGTCTTGGAAATAGTCTCCCTACCCTCAGATCTCTCCAGCTTTCTGTTACAGGGTCTGAAATTCCACCACTTATGAGTCATTGCTTAGGGTGGCCCCTTCACAAATCCCTGAGAGAGGCAAGCACATTTATGTATGTAACATTGTGAATTCATGTAGCAGATTGCTTTCCTCCCAGGGACAGCTAAGTAAAATCCGGGCCTGGGATGTGGGAACCCTTACTTCCAAGGCCCCTGCTTTATTTTTGGTGGTAATCTATAGCATCTTCATTACCTTCCTTCCCCTCACTCTAGGGTTCCAGTGACTTCTGTGTGGACCCCGATACCTATGTAACTAAGATGGTGGAAGATCACTCAGTCCTTGGTGCAGGTAAGTTGACTCCATGAATGCCAATGTGCCCCACAGGCGTTAATGACCCAGTTGGAGAAAGGAACTGAAGAGGTTCTGCCCATGGTAGGTAGCTCAGAGTTTACATGAAAGCCTTTGTACTAGTGTGCCTGCCCTTGTCGATGAGGAATATTCCTTGGTAGTGTGGAAAAGGTTCTGGAGGGAGGAGGAGAGCTGGAATGTGTGTTGGTGTTTGAACTGATGAACCTTTGACATTTTTTCAGTTTGAGTGAGCTGATATGACAGGTAAGAGGCAGGGTGTTATATGGTAAGAGAGCTGACCTTGGTGGTAGGAAGGCTTAGGGTTTAAGGCTTGCCTCTGCCACATACTGGCCCCATGACCTCCTCAGTTTTCCAAACAACTCTCTAAGACATGTTATTTTTTAAACTTTTGTGTGTGTCATGGAACCCTTTGGTTGAACTGAATGATTGAATGAAGCCAATGGACTTTGTCTCAGAGTAATGTTATTAAATGCATAAAATAAAAGATTGTGGACCTCAGGTTAAGAACCCTTTCTCTTAAGAAAAAAAAAGACAAAAATAACCCTTCTCTCAAATTCTCAGGTACAGAGCAGTTGTATATTTGCATTGGTAGAATGAGTTGAAATGAAATTATGGGTCCAGTTTATTTTCTGAGCCTCTGTCTGGGAGGGGAAAAAATGGAATGAGTTTGGTGTTTGCTCTTGAGCAGTGTGTCCTCTCTTTTCAAAGGACACTTGAAACAACTGCAGATCAATACATGGCACTGTGTAATCAAGTCCCCCATTGTTCAGTTCTGACTGTGATAGTTCTAGGACCTCTGAGATGAGAGGTCGTTGTGACCTGGGATTAACAGGCAAGGCTTGAGGGAAATGTCTGAAAGCATCATCAGAAAACATCCTAAAAGCAGTCTTATCATCTTTTCTCTTGTTTGGTCCTCAGAGTATTCCTATTCCTGTAGGGCTAAGCAAGCGCCCCCATTTTACAGATGAGGAAGCTGAGATCTTCAGGGGTGAAACAGCTTCAAGTCAATGTGGGAGCAAGGATGGGGACCCAGGCCCAGGCTCCTTCTACTCGATTCATCTGCCTCTTCTTCTCTCCCCTTCCCCTTCTGTCCCATTCCTAGGACTATAGAATTAGATCTGGAAAGGTAATTAGTCATCAACTAGTATAACCTCCGTATTTTATAGATGAGGAAAAAGAAGCCAAGAAAGGTGAAGTGATTTTACTCACACAGGAGTGAGCTTCAGAGGTAGAATTTGAACATGTCCTCTACTTCTAGGGCCAGAGAACTTATTACTGTATCCAACTGCCTACCTCATTTACTAATTATCATCTGACAACTAGGCTTGGAGGCATTCTAGGAGGAAATAAGCATTTATTAATCACCTACCACGTACCAGGCGCTTTACAGAGACTAAGCACTTTACAAATATTACCTCATCTTATCCTCACAAGAACGCTGGGAAGTAGATGCTATTATTATCCCCATTATACAATTGAGGAAACTGAGGCAGACAGAAGTTAGGTGACTTGCCCAGGTAAGTATTTGAGGCCAGATCTGAATTCAGTCCCAATCTCTTAATCACTCCAATACCTAGCTGCCTCATTTTAACTGGGTCTTTATGGATGGGGTAGAATTTGTATAGGTAGGCAGGTATGGTGGGTTGGAGAAGGCACATCAGGCACAAGGATTATCATGAGTCAAGTTTAAAGGCCAGAATTCACAACCAGAGTGACCAGGTTTGCAGGATCTCAGGCCCACATGTTGCTAACTTGCTACTTGTGTGACATTGGGTGTGACATTTAATCTCTGGTCTTCAGCATCCTCATCTGTAGGTAAAATGGAAGAAGACTTAGGCTAGATGATAATTGAAGATCCTTTTCATCTCTGAATCCTATGACATGCCTAGGAGCTCAGGACTCTTGTCATGAGGAACGAAGGACATCTGTGCTCTGAAGGATGCTGTCTCTTTTCCCAGTATCATAAGGGAAAGGGCCATATGGTACCATGGAATTCTCTCCACTGAATTTTGGCAGGAGTGAGACCAGTATTTCCTAACCATTGTGGGAAGGACAGTTGGAATCCCAGAGCCCTGAGCAGTCACTGGAACCCTGAATAAACCTTGATTTCAGGTTTTTCCAATCCAGAAGTGACCCAGCTGAGATTAAGTCTCCCTGGCTCAGGGGGTAGGAATGGAGAACTGATCTTTAGAGGTCCAGTCTGAAGAGTCTCTGCTCCTGGTGGGAAAAAAGGGGCTTCAGCAGGTCAGATAGCAAGGTGTCTGGGCCGAAGGGTTCTGGTGTCCTGGTGGATGGCTGGATGTAGGAGATAAAACTAAAAATCAATATTGATGTCTCTGGGCTCCTGCTTGCTATGGAGACTTTATCCATCCTGATAGTAAATATCCTATATATCACCTATGGTAAAATGCTTTGTAAGTTACGTGCTGGAAGCTAAAGTAGGAAAAACTGGTTGCTTTGTAGAAAGGGGCATTAGTGTTGGGATTCGGTGATACTGAGCCTGGTCCATAGAAGATGTTACTGACTTGAAGCAAGAGAGATAATCAGGGGACAGTATCTTTAGAAGAAAGGGAGCAGCTTCTGAAAAAGGGAAGAGGCAACTAAGGAAACACCAGATTAGAAAGTCATAGGAGCTGGGTCCTTGTTCCCAGTTGTGTTGCTTCGATGTACATTCCTTTGTTTCTCTGGACCTTAGTTTTCTCATTTATAAAAATGGGGAGATTTGCCAGATCGTAGCCTAAATCTCTTTCATTTCTAACATTTTATGATTCCAAGATTTTTGAAAAAGATTGAGGAGGGCAAGAAATAAAAGTGAGAACGAGAAGGGGCAAATTAGAGTACTATTCTTTTGTTTCTCCCCATCCTGGTTACGTTGCTGGTGGTGAGTGGATGACCCAGCCAGTAAGGGAGTGAATAGGGCATCTTCTTGGCATATGGGCCCATCTCCCTTGCCGGTAGAAACACAGCCTTGATGATGCTGATACATAAGGGAGGGCTCTTTTAGGAGTGCTCAGCCAGTGCCCCTTCCCACTCAAGCGACTGCTTCTTTCTCCCTCCCTCATCTCTTTTTTGGATATCAGCTCATTTCTTCATGAAAGGATACTGGTTAAGTCTCTGGAGAAGCTAGTGGAGGGAGAGAGAGAGAGAGAGTGTGTGTGTGTGTGTGTGTGTGTGTGTGTGAGACCTAGGGATGAGTGGTCCTTTAGGCTTAGAGCCAGAAGGGGACATTAGAGGTTGGCTAGCCCTACCCCCTTGTTTTACAGATGAGGAAACTAAGGCGCAGAGAGACCAGAAGTGATTTCCCCAAGAGCACATAGGTAAAGGCTTGGTACCAAGCTCACGTTCTTTCCATTGCTCCACAATCCTGTTAGGCAAGGTCCCAAATGACATCATGTGAGTAGAGGATTACCCTTTGCCATTCATGCAGCATGGTACAGTGGAGATTGAGCTTGACTTGGAATCCTTTGGGCCAAAGTGTGAATCCTGGCTCAGCTATTTACTGCCTGTGTGACCTTGGAAAAGGTCACTTAACTTTTCTGGAACTCAGTTTCCTCCTTTGTAAAATGACAGGGCTGGATGACTTCTAAAGCCCCTTCCAAGCTCTAAAATCTATGTTCCTATGTTTGTGCCAAAGGAGATATTGTATGTAAAGTTGGCTTTGCCAGCCTTAAAGGGTTTATAGGAATTTGAGCTAGTATTATTGTTATTATTGTTATTCACTGATAGGGGGCAGTCAGTTGTACAGTGCATGTGGACTAGTATACACATGTGGGGTGGAAATGCTGGATTTTTATTTACAAGGTTCCTCTAAGGCAGGTCAGATGTGTGCCACAGAGGAGCCACGTGCAAATGTATGTCTCTCCAACAGGTTTCATTGATAACTAGCCTCCCTTCTCAACCAGTCTGGGGCTGTTTCCTCTGCCCTGTAGTAGAATGGCAAGGTTTCAGAGACTTAACCTTGACTTATGGGATTCCATGAACAGCTGGAGGTCTGCTTTCCTTTCAGCTGCTTCTACCAATTGTCCAATAATGAGCTGGAATTAACGACCTTGAATTAATCTGATTTGGTCCACTATGGATGAACTCCCACCCTCTTTCCTTTTAGAGCTGACAGATTAATGTGTTTTGAGTTGATCTAAAAAACCCCAACAAACAAACCCCAAACCCTTCTCATCCTACATTGAGCCAGGTAATAGCTTAAGGCAAAGAGAAAAGCCTGTAAGCAGGCTGCCCCAGGGTGCGGGAGCCTCAGGCATGCCCTGAGTCTGCTTTCATCAGCCCAGGTGCCATTGTGATGAGCTGACCCAGTCCCTGTGTCCTGGTTTCCTATTGCAAAATAAACACAAAGGTACAATGGGAGCCTTTATTATGCCTCTTGGAGACTTATTTTCCAGTCTAATCAGCCATTTCCACTGACAATGTGGCAACTTTGCAGGTGATTTATTCAGTAAAATTAAACAGTTGGGCCCAGTTAGGAGGTGGGGCCTGATGTCTGTTGGGGTGGGCTTCTTCCATCCACTGGGAGCTGACTTGGCCCCAGGGAAAGTGAGTGGCCACTTGGGAGAGAACTATCCCTGCTCTGTTTCCACTGTCTGCCCAGAAGAGCATGACAGCCTGGAGATCAGCCCTTCCAGCACCTGTGTGGAAGGTTGTTGAGATTCAGACTTTAGGCTGAGCTCTCTATAAGACTGGAATGTGGGGGGTGGGGTGTGGAGAACGCTGCCCTGGGATCTCACCCTTGTCTTTTCTGGGGCAACCTCCTGCGTCCCTTCCAACCCCGTGTCCTTGTCCTTTGAGCTAGAGAGCATTCCCTCCTTCTCCCTCCTCCCTTCTATCACAGGGGCTGAGTGAGCTTTCATTCAAAACAATTGAGACATCTTGTTTTGTCTAGGTCCTGGGCCTGGGCCAGGGCCAGGAGCTGTGGGGGAAAAACAAAGGATAAGTTATTGTTCCTTACCTTAATAGATCTTATAGTTTAA